GTACCTTGGTTGAAGCTGAGTCTGACTCTTCCTTTGCTAGCTCTCTAGGCTGAAGCAGATTTTTGTCTGTTCGCACGCCATCAATTGTATAGAGCTTCAGGACAGTATGGTGAGTTGATTCATAGTGTTTGATGAAGCAAACCACACGACGTCCGCTCATTGCTGCTGCAATCTGAGCAGTCAAATCCACTTTCTGTACCCAGAAATAAAATGTATTTTACAATAGTTAAATAGAAATGATCTAGAATAGCTGGTAAGTGCACAAGACCGATTATTGATTATGAAAAGCAAAAAACAGTATGGTATTAGTTTCCAACGAGTCAATATATTATAGTTATAAATGGTTAAAGGGATAACTCAAGCCGTTGCTATGAATTAGAAGGCATAAATTTTGTTTTGGTTCCTATATAAATTATTGCATATAAATATGTTAAATAACCTGTTGTTCAGCTTGATATAAGTCGGTCCCATTAAATGGAATCACTTGTTCAGCATCTGAATCATACAACATTGCATGTATGTTTCCTGTCTCATCTTCAATTGCAATCGGTAACCGGCACCTAATTGTTATGAATCAAATCAAAGGTAATATGTGTTAGTTTGAGGCACATACAATTAATCAAACAGCTGACAAAGTTCCTAATATTATTAAAGGTCTGTAATAACTTATGTATAAGTTTTGTAGTATTATAATGATGAAACAATTATCATAATTTTGGGAATAAAATCTGGTANTAAAATACATATTAAAATAAATAGATAATATTAGTAGAAGATAATAAGGCTTTAAATATTTTTCGCTCTCATTCTTTCCTCTCGCAGGTTTGCAGGAGTCACAGCTGAACACTCTTTCTCTTTCTCTCTAATGTTTCTCACTCTCCCTTTCCTAATATTTTCAGCATTTTTTCTATGATTTTCAGTCATTTCATTGAGCCTGATTTGTTCATTTCTGGTGATGCAGATTTCCTCTACAATGTGTGGAAATAAGTTTTTTTACTTGCAAAATATGCTGTGTAAACAGAATGGCATGTGGCAAACAATGAAGATTAGGTATATGAAAATTAAAATAGCAGGAAGTTTTAAATCCTAAGAAGCTTGTATTTGAAATGAGGCAAAACTACATAAGCATACAGCTGTAGATTGATTTCATTTCATTCATAGAAGTTAGAGTTATTTAATGATTAATTCAAACCTTGCTTCAACAAGGGTATCTTCTTTGCAACTTCGACATTTGACAGGCGTATTTGGAGGCACATTATAATTTTTGCGACAATTATTGCAAGTAGCTGTCCACAAAGATCTGTTGTCTCCCAAATATTTCAGATAGCCAGCAACCCAACAAGTTTTAGTCTAACAAAAAGATTATTAAGTTAGTGGCTGTAAATTTTCAATACTGAAGATATGGTGCTTAATATGTTATTTTATTTGCATAATCGTAATTTGATGTAGCTTACGTATCTGANCGTTGAACGGTGACTATCTCACTGGAAGATGGGTATGGAAACAACTTGTCTGTGTCCTTATACATGCCTTCCTCCACAAGCTTCATAACAGTTGCTTTGTTGTCAGCGTACCTATTAAAGAGTATGTGAGAAACAACCAAAAGGTGTGGTGTAATATTACAATTATTATATTGGAAATTGTGCAATACGTACCATTGCTTCAATCTGTCAGCAGCTACTATTGGTGGATTTATCATTAAGCAAGTTCCAGTTTTAGTTGATAACGACAGCCCTTTATAATGATATTGTGTTAATCAGATATGAGTGATTCATCAATTGTAATGTAGGAAATTGAAATTGCGGTCTATGATACCATTGAACGTCGTAACCCTTATCCTCATGGACAAAATGATGTTCCCAGCTAGTACTGTATTGGCCAAGTGTTGACCAACATCATCTTCCGTTTCAAATTGATTCCAAAGAGTCAAAAGGACAGGCTTTTCCCTGGTAAACAGACACTCATAAGTATAATTATTATATTGTTGAAAAAAATTTGAGTTATGATAAAATTCTTACTCTTCATTAATAATCACCAACTCTCGGGCCGTATTTTTTTGTCCCACGCTTTTGACCGGAAAAGCATGCACAACAACACCAAGCAGGTCTAGTATGTTTTTAATTCGACAGTGTTAGTTGGTTTGTTGTTTGAGCAAAGCATGTGGAAATTGTAAGCAAAGTAATATTTCAAATTTTAGACAAATGAGCTCACTTCTGGGGTTCTCTGTATCTGCGTATTTGTGCAAGTCTGCAAACGTATGAATTTCAATCTGGCATGGCAACTGAGGGGGCATTTCTTCCTGGAACTCCTCTACCAAAGTTTTTTTATGCAGGAGCCAATTAAATTCATAAGGGCCAACCTGGTACAGCGGGGTTTCTGGTCGCACTTTTGCTCCAGTAAGGTAGTATCGCTTGTAGGGAAGTAACAGACCATCGAACTCTTCTATGGCTGCTTTGTAGACTACAGCAGCTACTTTGGTACCCTGTTATGCCAGAATAATGAATATGTCATCTTTATAGTTCAGATTTATTATTTAAGTCAACTAACATACAAAAACACAAGGCATTTATAAACCTCTCCATCTGTGAATAAGTATCTTCGATAGGGCACGTGTGAATCACTTTTGCTTGTTTGAATAGGTGCCCTCTCAACTACTTGAATAAGCGCAGTCCAGTTCCGCGTCTCATCAGTGATTTGGCTAATAGGCAAATAGGTCCTCGACATTGTTACCTGCACCGATTGATAATTGAGAAATCAAAAATTGGAAAATAGTAGACTTTATGTACAGTAGCAAAGCACACAGAGCTTTTTTTTTTTTTTTATC